CCACTTTACTATGCAACTCTTATTCTGGACTCTTGTCATGGCAACAATACCTAATGATATGTTCCTTTTATACGTCTATTTCAATGCCATGTACATTACTTATCGCCTCTTTCCTTAGTTTCCCTCCAATGCCCATATCAGTCCTGTTCTGTAACAGTAGCATTGTCAAGTATTTGTCTTTTTTGACTAAGATATTTCACTCAGCATAATGTCCTCAATGGTCACCCCATTTTATGCAATATTTCATGAGTTCTTTGTTTTTCAGGGTTGCATAATATTCCATTGTGTGAATATATCACAGCTTCTCTACTCACCCATTTGTTGACTGGCACTTGGATTGTTTCCAGCTCTTTGCTATTGTGGACAAAGCATCAATAAACATGGGTGTGCATATACCTGCTTGGGTGGCAGTTCTGGTTTTTTTAGGGTATATTCCCAGCAGTGAAATTGTTGGGTCAAATGGTATTTCTATTTCCACATTTTTTAAAAAATGCCTTACTGCTTTCCATAGTGGTTGCACCATTTTACACTCCTACCAACAGTGAATAAGGGTCCCAGTTTCTCCACAACCTCGCCAATATTTGATGCTTACTGCTCTGTAAAATTTTGCTATTCTTACTGGAGTGAGATAGTATCTCATAGTTGTTTTGATTTGCTTCTCTCTTAGAGCTAGGAATTTTGAACATTTCTTCATGTGCTTGTCGGCCATCTGAATGTCTTCTCTGGTGAAGTGTCTGTTCATATCCTGTGCCCATTTTTCAATTGGGTTGTTTACTTTTACCTTGTTGTTGTGCTCAAGTATTCTATAAATTATAGCTATAAGTCCCTTATCAGACATGTCACTATCAAATTTTTTTTCCCAGTCTGTGGCTTCCATTTTTACCCTGTTGGGGAAGGTTTTGGATGTGTATAGGGATTTTACTCTTAGAAGGTCCCATTCATCTATTTTGTCTTCTCCTAGTTGTAGGTTTTTCAGAATGCTTGAAAGACCGTCAATGCTGTAGGTGAGGACTTCTAGAGTTCTTCCAAGCTTTTCTCTAACGGAGTTTGTAGTCCTTGGTTTTAGTCCTAGGTCCATGATCCACTTTGAGTTGTTTTTGTGTATAGAGTGAGGTGTGGATCTCGCTTGAGTTTTTTGCAGATAGTTTTCCAATTTTGCCAACACCATTTGTTAAAAAGGCTGTCATTTCCCCATTTAACTGATTTCATTTCCTTGTAAAAAATCAGTTGACCATAGGTAGAAGAGCTGATATCTGGGTTCTCAATTCTAGTCCATTGATCAATGTGTCTGTCATTGTACCAGTACCATGCTGTCTTGACCACCACAGCAGTGTAGTAGGATTTGAAATCAGGGAGTGAGATGCCTCCTACCTTGTTTCTCTTTTTAAAAGGTGCTTTTTTCGTTCTGGACCTCTTTATATTCCAAGTGAAATTGGAGATTGCCTTTTCCATATCATTGAAGAATGGAATTGGTATTTGTATTGGGATTGCATTGAACATGTACATTGCCTTTGGTAATATTTGTAATTTTCAAAATATTGATTATTCCTATCCATGAGCAAGGTATATTCTTCCATTTCACCAGGTCTCTTTTTGTTTCTTGTAGTAATATTTTGTAATTTTCTTTAAAGAGATCCTTTGTGCTTCTGGTTAGATTTACTCCTAATATTTAATCTTGTGATTAGCTACTGTGATGGATATTATTTTTCTAAGCTCCAGTTCTGTATTCTCTTTGTCACTGTAGAGAAATCCAATTGATTTTCTATGTTGAGCTTGTACTCTGCCACTTTTCTGAATTACTATGTCTAGTAGTTTTCTTGCTGAATCTTTAGGGTTTTCTAAGTCTACGATCATCTGCACAGAGAGATAATTTTACCTGCTCTTTGCCAATTTGAATACCTCTTGGTTTTTTCTCTTGTCTTATTGCTATCGCTAAGACTTCCAGGGCAACATCTGTTCTCTGAAATACTTCAATTGGTATACCATCTATTCCTGGGGCCTTATTTTTTGCTATTTCCTTCAAAGCAGCTTGAACTTCTTC